CGGCTAATGCTTATAGTTAAAAATCTGTCTACTCGTCCGATTTTGTATTGAGTATTGTAATCAACATTGTCACAGTACTTAACCCATAATATTTAAGATTTAACTTAATTTTCAGAAAGAAGTAGACTCTCATGCAAACCAGCCGGCATTCCATTCGCTGGGCTCTTTAGCGGCATACACAATGTCGGAATTGACTTCAAGCACAGAAGTAGATGGCGCGTGCAGCGTTCTTTCTGTCGATACAGTATGCAATTCCCAAGCTGAAAATACTGCAGGACCGGAGCCTTCTATTTCAGAGCATACGGACGATAACCCTGATTCAATAACACATGACTTTGTTCATGTAAATATTCCAATTAATGCAGACGCAGACGAGATAACACTTGAAACGAACCAGCCATCTTTTATTGCTGGATATTTAGCGCCGTATGCAGAATATATACCAAGTTTACAAAGTATACAATATGTGTTGCCGACATGGTTATTCCAGGCTACCCAAAATGAAGGCGCGACAAGCACGAGTCTAGATACAAATCCTGAAGCTGAGAGTTTTGAAACATGGGTGAATGAAACAGTTACAGGAGATTACACAAGCTCTATCGAAGGTATTAAAGCATTTGTGGTTCCATCTTTTATATAGTATATATAAATTCCAAGATATTAACCAAGTATATTTTATAATAAATGTACATAATGTTAGCTGAGACGGATAGATTTTGTCACTCAAAATTGTGTTACTTACTACTATCTCTTTATCGAGCATGTATCCGATTTTTTACATGAAAATGCCTTTTCGTATTTATTATGAATATCATCAATAGTACACCCGTCAACAACGCTTTGCGTACCTTGCTTGTTAAAAAGAGTTTTGTTATCAGCTAGCTTGATTTGAATTGCTGAGATTTTGGAATGGTACATACTTGCTTTTATTTAAATTTATTGATTACCCTTTTTTGTCATTTATTGCATGTTTTTGTAACGTTCATTGGCTATTTTTTCGTTCATTACATGTTTTCCCATTCATTACTTGTTTTTCGTCTTTTTTTTTGTCATTTAGACGAGCAACGATTCAGAGCATGTCTAGTTAGAGCAATGTACGAAAACTTCGTACAGTTGAATCGGATAGACAACTCATTCATGACTGAAAACTGCATGGTTACCAATGAGGAATTGTGTTATGCCCGTTCCAGTGAATCACAGTGCACAATAAGACTTTTATTAATGCTTCTAAACAGAGACACTCACACGATGCTTATGTTTATTTATGGAATGCGTACACGTTATCAGGATACTGTAAAAAGTATATTTACCTCTTTGAATCGTCATTTAAATGATTCAAATTTTACATACCAATCACAGTGTCTTCGCTGTAATCTTAGTAAAAGAGTGAATATTTCTCTGATTACTGATCATCTTCCCCAGTGTTCTAATGGTTTGCTTTTGCTACCATTTGTTAATATCGTGAGCGAGGAAGATCAGCCAGGCCAGCCCACGACATCGGAGCGACTTTGGAATGAATTGTTTAAGGTAGTGAATAACCCAAGTTTATATCAAGATGTTATTATAACCATTGCTAGAGTTATAGAGTCATCTGGGTATCATACAGATATTGCAAGAATGCTGCAAGATGATATAAATCTAGACAGGAATAGTTTCGTTTGTAGATGTGAAGACATAAGAATCTGTCAGTCAAGCCTTAGTCAGTCAAGTGCCACCGACGCAGAGCTGATGTAGAAAATAATATTCATCAAGTAGAAGAAAGTAATCAGGCTGAGCCTTCTGTTGAAGATAGAGCGGAATCTAGGGATATTATACACACGGACAGTAAATCTGAAAAGAATACTAGGGAAGTAGTCAAATATCCCGATAAAGACAACAATGGAGCATCAGGTTGCGCAGAAGATATCAAACCAATTGGAAATAACGACAAAGCAAAAGCTAATTTGGTAAATAATTCAAGAAGAAATAGTGAGCATAATGTGAGTTATGATGAGAAAACACAGGAAAAGAAAGTTCCTGATCTAAGTACTTTTCAGATAACAGCAAGGGAAACCAGTCTTAAAAGGTCAAAACGGAAGGACAGACCTTGTGAAAATGAAACAAAAGAAAAAAAGCGGAGAAATGAGCCTGAAGATTTTAACAATAGTCGTAAATCTAGCATTGGAAATTGTGACTTACAGATTGAAATGTTGAAAATTGGCGCGCAAGAAAAGCAACCTGATAGTGGGTTTTCTATTGTATCTTTACCAAGTACATCTAGTTACGGTGACAGCGGAGTTTACGATCTATCAACGTTGTTTATAGACGCTGGCCCTGATGATGAAACTGTGGCTGGCCCTGATGATGAAACTGTGGCTGGCCCTGATGATGAAACTGTGGCTGGCCCTGATGATGAAACTGTGCCTAAACAAATTGTATCTGTGAAAGACCTTAATTCAGAAACATCAAATGCCAGTGACGATAACAGGGGAAATTCAGCAGCTCAAAGAGATGATGTTGATGATGAAAGCGCGAATGTACTTTCAGATCTTTCTGGACATGATGATAGGGAATAAGACTCATTTCAAGGTGAATAAGGCGTTAAGTATTAGTCAAATGATAATGTTAATGATGACAAATAATATAAAATGTTTCAAAGTTGATGTACCTTTTTACTCAATTATTGTACATATTTGTTGTTTTTATCTCATATAAATAATATAAACAATATGCTATTGTTGTTGTTGTTTTTTCGAATTGTATGTTATTAAATTTGAGAGTTGATCTGTGTTTATTAATTATTGTAACCAAACTAAGTGACAAACATTCATTTTGGAAAAGAACATATTTATCTGTTAAATATTTGTTCTGTTCTGTTCTGTTCTATAACGATATCAAACATCTACTCCAAAACCGGGAGAGACCGGACAATAAACGTGTGTCACTAGTAAATCCCGGTCAAAATAGACCGGGAGAGACCGGGAATTACCGATAGGAGACCGGCGAATCGGGTACGTGTTATTCTGGCCATCACCGCACCCGGTGTGCCTGACTGGAACCGAATGTGCTGGAATGTTCTGTCAAAAGAAAACGATAAATATCCGTAATGACAACTGTTCCAAACGTATTTCCTAATATGCTTCTATAAATCAAAAATATTAAATATTATTCTGTGCACATTAAAAAATATTTTAGTTAAAAGACAGCTCCGTAAACATGGTCGCGTGACTGATTTTTACATACTGTCACTGTCAGTTTGTAAATTATAAAAAATTAAGACCATCCCAATATATAAATTTAATTTAATTGTAGAAGGAATGATATACAATTTATCTCATGTTAAAATGTTTTACTTGATTTGGCTTAAATATACTCTTTGAGAACCATGAATACGTTCTTATTATATGGTATGGAATTTTTTTACTTCATGCTATAAGATAAATGTAAGTAAAGTAAATTTAAGTTACTAGTAAACGATTAATAGAAACACTACACCCTTACACTTTCGTGTATAAGATATTTTCTCTTTCTATGGTACAGCAACTCCGACTTTAAAGTTAACAACATTTTCATTTAAAACATTTTCATTTGAATGCGATAAACAAAGTTTACCTTATACTTGAAAAATATCTAGAAAGGGTTTCCATTGCTGCCAATGGCCACTGAAGGTAACATACAGCGCTGTTTTTTATGTAGACGATTTTTCTGTTACATCGGCCAGCTGTTGTCGTGTTTCTACATCATGCTTACGGAATTTAATCTTTAAAGTGTGCAAATCCCACATCAACTGAACACAGAGCATGTCCTTAAAAGAAAAAATAAATTATTTTTAAATATGAAAAAGCCTTACCTGCTACGAAATTATATACTAGGACGAAAAATAAACGCCGGGTAACCTATAATGATTGTTTTAAGGGATAAATTGTATTATTGGATTATTATATTCATTTTTGTATGAAATGTCATCTGTATGGAACCAGCTGTTGAAGTTTCAATCGATTTCCGATGCTGATTATGTGAAAAAATACCCCATTTTAACGATGACCCTTCTTGTTTTGCGAAACACGGCCGGACATATCAGTATCTTGTGTGTCCTCCATGCGCAGCTGTGGCAGCCCTGATCCGTCTATGCATGGAATTCACCAGGGTGTTAATCATGGCCATGGGGATGTTATTCCATTCTTCATGCAAGGCATGTGTGAGCTGGACATGATTAGTGGGGGCATTTGGACGTCTCCTTACCCTCCTATCCAGTTCGTCCCACAAATGTTCAACTGGGGACAAATCTGGACTGAATGCTGGCCAATCGAGTGGGTGTATGTTACTGTTGGCAAGAAATTGCTGGCAAACTCTGGCGACATGGGCATTATATAAATCTGACCGATTTTCATTATTTTAGGCCAAGCAATAAAATATGTGTTGCATATCTTATGTACCCGGCGTTTCTTTTTCGTCCTAGTATATATGCTTTTTAACAAAACTACAGTGTTTATGATACATATTTTGTCATTGGGAAATTAATGGGTTTTTTTCATTGGGAAACTCAGTATTTTTTCATTGGAACTGTTAAAATCAGTTTAGAATGCCGAGTTCCTAGAAGTAAGAAATGAAGGTTTCTTGAATCAGTACCCGGTACTTTCATATGATACTCGACATTTTCATTCTGTCCAGTCTTTAAGTGCCACAAAAATCGTAACGGTTCTTATTTCAACCTGAAATATTATAAGATATAGTACAATTTATTCCATGTAAGTTATTCACTATGCTTTAATTATATGTCTATATGCATTTTTTTAATTTTGAAGAAAATAGTAAGAACAAGTTAAGTTAAATTTTTAATTTGCACAGACATGCATTATTGTACTGCATATTTATTTTGGAAGTACTGTATTGGTACAAATGTACTGTCACTGAATTACTCGCATGAATTACTTTGTTGCTATATGTACTGGTACTGAATAACTGTCTCAAAATGTGGCACTGGTACTGCATATATAAGGGACATCTTTGGTTTTCATAAAAGATTGAAAGAGTAAAGTTTTATCACATACATGTATATTATCCTATTTATCTTTATACTTTTACATTAAGAATACTATGTTGTGGAAATTTATATTAAACAGTCTGTATGCAAAATATGGTGAAATGTAAAAGTACTCGTACTTAATTACTTCCAAAATAAAAGTACTGGTATAATACTGGTATTTGTACTTATATACCGCATGAGCTGACAAGTACTGGTACTGGTATTTAAGGAGTATACTCCTTGTACTAATGCATTTCCGATTGTGTAATATGGTAGTTTAGCCATAATAGGTACTATTGCAAACCATTATATCATTGTAAATAGTTTGCTATACAAAATACCGAGTGTATCGACAAGGCAGGAGTCTGATTAACTTGATTTTGCAATGTCCAGTCTACCATCGACAGCACAGCGTCAGGTCCGTGTGTCCCTTTACCATCTGGACCTATCGTTTAACCTTGGTCATTTAGGAAGTTGAGTTGTTGTACGATATCTGGATTTTACGCATGGTTAAAAAGTATATTGGGCCCATCTGGAGAGAAAAAAGAGGCAAACTGACGTATACGCTCATTACCTAGTATGAAATAACAAAAAAGAGATCCATAGTTAAACATAAATTAAAGTAACATTATGAATGGTGGGTGAAAAGGTCAAAGTCAAAACAACTTGAAATGTTTCCATAATAGGTTTCAATTTTAAATTATAGATAATAGTCCATGTGAATAATCACTAGCCCACATGAATCACAATAAATTCTATAGATATCCTTCGGAATATGTCGTTAATGCTCCGTTTATAAATAAGAGTGGGGCAGGCCTTTTATATTTCAGGCAATTTATCAATCATATTTTATCCTTGGCAATTTTCATAATCAACTATTGTTCAATGGCCATTATAATAGTCAATCTTTTTAAATATACATTTGTATAGTCAAATGAACTCAACCAGACAGATTGAGCGTAATGTAACTTGAAGATAGAGGTAAAAACAGCGTATTTGAACCTTATTAAAGCAACGATCTTTATAATAACGGTAAAAAATCATAATATCAACTGAATAGGTAACATATGGTATAATACTAGTTAATGCTTTTCAATTCTTTAGTGTAGGGTGGCAAACTTTTCATTTCTACGGTTTGAATTTTTCTTTCAATATTCTATAAATGTCATCGAAATGAAAACACTAAGCAGTCAGAGGAACAAAACTTTTTCTCTTTATAAAAAATAAAATGGAGGTTTCCCAACTTGACCCACGTGGGTCAGGTTATATAATTTAGACTTCAAAATAGCTGTTATAGAGAACTATGAAAACGTTAAAGTATCCGTCAGGTGAATGAGAAAAATAAACATGAATTCTGTGAATAATTAAAGATATTGAAAAATTTCTTTCGTAGGATTTTCTAAATGTTTTGTATGTTGTGTAAAATTCAATGACGAATTCAAAAATAAAAAGAAAAATATATGTTGACGTGTTGGATTTTTTGAAAATTGACAGTTTCCATGGTAACCGTATATCTCAAAACTGTCAAAATAAATGACCTTTCACTGGTAGCATTAGTAGCAGGCATTACTAACAAAATCTTAAGCAACACAACGACCTCAGAGAACAGTCAAATCTCTCTTTTACACTGGCCATGGCAAGATCGATTGCTTCAAAATACTTAGGGCGGAACACATCCTGCACTGTAACGGGGTGGTAGCCAACACCGTTCCAAATCACGAATCGTGTGGGCGCCTTCCTCTTCCGGGGAACATTTGGATCGTTAACGTCGATAAACAGTGTACAGTTGTTCCTTCGCGTCATGTTTGTATATTACCGCGCAATTTGCATAAGGGGCTAGTTAAGTGTCAAATCGCTAATCAGCGATGCGTTTTTTTGTTGTTTTTTTTTTTTTTTTTTTTATCATTTTTGGCCAGAATATTGGTCCGGCCAAGGCCGGACCGGCCGGACCATCGACGACGGCCTTGAACTGTGTTATAAAAACGTATAAGACAGCTTATTATACACACAATAAACATAATTTTATAAAAAAAAACATGCTTTATCTAAGGGTTATGTGTAAAACAAACGATAATCTGAACATATTTATTTAAAAAATGAGTGTTTCATGCTTTTTAACTAAACAAAAATTGAGAAAAATAAACATGAATTCTGTAAATTATTAAAGCTATCAAGAAATTTCTTTCGTAGAATTTTCTACATTTTTGATATATATAGTAAAATTTTATGGTGGATTCAAAAAAAGAAATAAAAATATATGTTGACGTGTTAGTTTTTTTGTAAACGGGCAGTTTCCATGGTTACCGCATATGCCAACTGTCAAAATTACCACGCTTTCTTAAGAAATATCAGTGGTATACTAAATGCATTGTCATATATACAACAAAAACAAGTTGTAAATAAATTTCTATTTCTTTTGATGTTATATTAAGTAAATGATACTGAATATGTTTTTGAAACAGGTTATATAAGGCCATATTGTATCATAGTTTGGAGACCTTTCTGTTGAAAATGTGTCAGTAGGCTAGGCATTTTAGCCAAAAATAAGACCCAACCTCAAACAAATTCCTTCAGAAAAGATATTTACATATTTGTTATCTACTATATATGTGTTGCTACAGGAAAAAAGTCCTCAAAAAAATTCGAAGTATAAAATGCTAAAAATGTCATGTTTTGAAATCATGTGTTTTCAATTAGAAAAATCTGTGAAATTAAATAATCCTGATATTCTACGCAAATATGGTCATTAACAAAGTAACACATTAATACACAAACATGCTTTATTTAATCCAAAACACTTCAAGCAATGTTGATTACATTCAAAAAGTCGCAACACTGCATAATCTATACATCATCATTTAGACTGGTATAAAACATTACCCCACCCACTAATGATAAATATTTTTTTTTACTTTAAGTCATATTCCATTAAATATTCTTACAAGTTAGCTCTACCAAGAATAAAGTTGTATGAATCTATCTAAATTTATATTATAATTCAAAATTGTAATACATTTTATACAAATAATTATTATTTATATACATTGTATTTGCATTTCTGTTCTGAAAATCAATCCTTCAAGTAAATATCTTACCAATGCTAAACTTTACCATGGAAGTTTTGTAAAAAAAATTATTGTAAAAAGTCATTTTAAAATAAAATGAATCTTCTGAATGTTAAGACACTGAAAAAACACAATGTTGTTTCATCATTTTTGTCACCGAGGCCCGACTATCCATATAGTCTGACAACGATACACATGTATAAATACATATTGCCCTGCCCTTGTTCAATCCTGAAATAATAAATCCACTTTTTCGGCCGGTGCTGTTGAAACCTTTAGCCTGCCCTTTTCACAGAGACACATTGTTTCGCATCTGTAAAATTGTTACAACATAAGATGATAAATAAAAATGCGAACTTTGCATTCTGCTTTTAAAATAAAACAATTTTATGTCAAACTGAAAATGTAGGTACTATGAAAAGCAAGATAGGATTGTGCTTTTAGATTTATATTTTTATATTGAATTATCTTCAAAAATTCATACATTAATGAGGCACGTTTAGCCTCAGGAAAAACGTGCCTCAGCTTTCTTCTTTAGAAAATATGTTTCATGTTATATTGTTATAATAAATTTAAAGCGTGTAAATTGCCTATCGGCTGAAATAAGCGCTAACTATGAAACATCGTAATGTGCCATATAAGTAAGAAATACTGAACAAAACGGCACCTATACTTTCATTTGAAGTTTTGGTCGAGTGTTTAAGGTCACTGACTTCAAAACACTTGCTTCTTACGGTGTTAACGATGTAGGTTCGAGTCCTGCCTGGGTTTTGGAATCTATTATCTGACATAGCTTTCCCAACTAAGCTTATAGAATATTGGTGGTTCTACGCGCTAAAAATAATACCTATGTCACACTTTTTCCTTCACCAGTAAAGCTTGAAAGTTATAATATGACCTGTAAAGTGTTGATGTGGCATAAAAACCAACAAACAAATCTCTGATCTTTGTAATTCCGAGAATGTAAGAAAACTGCAGTTTTGGACACTAAAAATAAAACACTTTTAAAAGAAAACCATTTCACTTTTACAAATGTGAATTCCCTTTAGAAAAGTTATATATGCAGTAGCACACAAAATTGAATCTGGTACACCAACTGTGTATTAAAAATATAGAGGGTTTTCTTTGATTTACCTGTTAATTGCTTTTCAAAAATGCTGGATCTTTTCAAACAGAACCCATTTAGCATCTCCTAACTTGGAAATATGGAAAACTCTTGCCACATCCAATCAACGGATTGATTTATGTTCGCCAAAATATAAAAGGCTGGACTCTTGCTTAATATTGTCTTCTGCAATCAACCATCCCATACTATGTTTAGCCCTTCCTCTGAAAATAAGATATATAAAGTCCATAAAACATTATCAAAAAGATATTAAAAAGAAATAGTATTGAAATGATATGATAGGGAAACGCCTGAGAAAATGTTGGTATGAGCAAACTCTTTTGTATGTGCATTTATTATAATCATGCTGTAAAACAATGATGTAAATTTGTGTTGTTAATATATCAATTTCTGTTGTATTAACAAACCGGAAAGACACCCAATTGTTTTGTTTTTATTCATTCAATAAGATATATCTACGTAAAAAGCCATTTTTCTCTCACATCCCATTACCCCTTGTGTAGACTGTAGAAGTCACGTGTCTATCCATCTTCTAACTAATTATACAACAACTGTTCTATAAATGCTGACAACAACATGGAAAACATAACTTAAAATATACATACAACTGGCACTGGGTAGATTATCAAGCTACACAACATTTAGAAAGAAAACAATTGAAGCAAATTTAATATGTTATAATAAGAATAAAATGGTTTAGGATCGGAAAAGATATGATTAAAATCTATATCAAATGCAAATTTGAAGCTGGTCTGTTAACACCTCATTTTAATTTTCTCTTTGAATATGTCATCTTAGTATTTAAGTAAATTTTGTGTTTTAAAACCATTTTGATAAGTGAAATCTATTGCATTTTGACATTAGATTATAAGACTTATCCAAATTGTCTAGAATGATAGAATAAAAATAGTTAAAACATAAGATATAAAACTTTGTAAAGAACAGAACAGAACAATTTTGTTTTGGATTTGTACATAGTGCATCATCACTACAATATAAATACACAAATTGAATTTTTAGTATAAATTTGTAACAAAATATCAAAATTCAGTTGTTAGTACTAACAGTAATGTTCCTGATTTTAATCGATTCTTTCAGATATTTAGCTAGATTAGTGAGTATAACTTTATTTAGAAGAATTCAGTCCAATATTTACACATTGGTGGACAGTTGTAATAATATCGTTTCACATATTTTTTTCCTTATGTCAACATAGCATGGGCATATCAAAACAAAATGATATTCGTCTTCTAAATCCATAGTATTACAACACAAACAATATCTTTCACTCCTTGGGATTCTATTTTGACCATATCTACCCGTTTGTACTATTAGTGTATGCGCAGACATTCTAATTCTTGTGATGTAAAACCTAGGATCCATAGGTAATATGTTAAGATAGTTTCCGTATGAATATAATTCTTTACAATTTTTATAAAGTTCTAAAACAGAATTATTTTCTAGAGATGAATGAATGCCATATTTGTATATAATTATCAATAACTCTTTGTTTAAATATTTTTGGAAATAATTTACTATCTAGATTCTACGATATTATTTTCAAAAAAGTATTCGGATAAACCATATATATCTAGGATTTCTTTAACATTTGATACCCAGATTTTTACCTTTATAACAATCAGATAAACTTAATTCATATGTTTTCCGTAAAAAAATATTGTCAGTATTTATCAATTTGCACCAAAACTTAATTATTCTTACGTATCGATTTATATACAATGGGTAACGGCCGAGTTCGCCGTATATACGAACATTGCTTGTATTGGCTCTAACATTTAAAATTCTTTTACACTATTTCAAGTGAATACGCTCAATTATCTTTAGATTTGCTATAACCCCATACTCACAGATACATACTTATGATATGACTGAACCTACAAAAGAATCAAATAATTGGCATAATAATTTGGGTTTTAAATCCATGTCTTCTGTTAAGAAGTAAAAGTAATGTATAAAGTTCCAGTAACAACTTCTCATTAATAGGTAATAGTTTTAACTTGATTACACCCTATTGGATACGCTGTCTTTTTTTTCCATATAGCATGCTGGAATTCGCTTAGAAATGCATTATGTATTACAAAATACGTTTGTTTACAGCACAGGAACTTGAAATTCTATCACTATTAACGATAATATGCAAAATATACCCCCTATATACTATAAAAAAACACAAGGAATGAAACGCCTTTTCCCCACCCCAACGTAACATAATTTACGCCGAACAAATCAACAAAACAACGGATCAAAATATTCTATCCGGCCATTTCGATAAACAATACATAAATGCATCAAATACCACCGATAACTTGTTAAAATCGCAAAGCTGTGTAGGAATAATTCAACATTTTCTGATTATTTCCCGCGATCTGAGTTTGTCGCCGACTCCATTCCGTGACGTCACTGGATTTTGAATCGAGGAGAATAATATTTATTAAAATTATTTTTAATAAGTTCCAAAAAATAACAGGTATGTATAAAACTTTTATACAAATTATCCTATGTAAATAGATTTAAACATCTTCATGTAAAACCTTTTTAACAAATCACTTTTATAAATACATTTGAAAGGGAAACCCCAAACAAGAACGGTAAATCTTGGAAATAGTACTTTCGTTTTAAAAAAAATTTGAGTACTCTATTTGATATGGCCTAGCAAATAAATTCAGCCCAGCCGTAAGAAATAAATCAGTCATTTGTTCTAGTTTGACAGTATTTTACTTGCAAACTTGTTATTTTTGGAACTTGTTAAAAATAATTTTAATAAATATTATTCTCCTCGAATCAACATCCAGTGACGTCACGAAATGGAGTCGGCGACAAACTCAGATCGTGGGAAATAATCAGAAAATGTTGAATTATTCCTACATAGCTACGAAATTAAAAAAGTTATCGGTGGTATTTGATGCATTTATGTATTGTTTATCGAAATGGCCAGATAGATTATTTTGATCCGTTGTTTTGTTGATTTGTTCGGCGTAAATTATGTTGGGGTGGGGAAAAGGCGTTTCATTCCTTGTGTTTTTTTATAGTATATAGGGGGTATATTTTGCATATTATCGTTAATAGTGATAGAATTTCAAGTTCCTGTGTTTACAGCAAGTTAACATATTATTTGATTTAATTATGATTTCCACAATTCATAAAACATGCCAACTTTTTGAAATAAGTCAAATTTAACATTTTAAAAATATCCCTAGATTTTCGTGATTTTGGTCACAACACGCTTCCGTAGAGAAGAAAAATTTACATAACTTGTGCATACACATTTTTTAAATACTCAGTAAGATGTGTGGTTAATTCTGTGCCATTTTAGATAATTGTACAAAAGAAAACAATGTAGAACAGTGTGTAAAAGATAAACTCTCTTTTAATGATTACTTCATTCAAAATTGTGTTTAAAATCGCGAAATTATATGACACATTTTGTCATCTGCATAATCGATTGATTGGTGGTCAATTAAATCTATCTACTGACATATTTTTCCCTAAAATTTATACAGAAGAATATAAAAATGACTAAAATTACTCACCTTTGCACTAGGAATGCTGGAATTGAAGTAACTTCAAATCTTTCAACGAAAATACAATAAACGTGACGTCACCGAACGTGCATAAAATTAAAGTATGGTGTAATTTAAGAGACACATTTAACTATCGATTTTTACTATATCTTTATGATCGATTTTTCAAGATTCTGCAAGGAGATTTTTTGAGGACTTTTTTCTCAAAATGTAGATAATGCTTATCTTTTATTTAATCGTGAAAACATTTGTGAAGGAATTAGTTTTACCATAATTACTATTATGACTGGCCTACAGGGTTAAATCGTATACATATACATGCACAGTGCGTTAACTGGAGTGCGGGTATTAGTTACCCGCACTCCAGAGCATGCCCATTGAATGGCTCATTTTTGCTGGGGTTTACATATTGTGACGGCAGAGAAAGGGAAAGCGACAGAAATGTCATATTCAGATGTTCGTTCATTGGTTCATTTTTGCCGGGGTTTCATATTGTGACAACAGGGAACGTGCTTTTATGTTTGACTATGATACAAAAGAGAAAGAACACCAAAACACTCGGCAATCTGATTAATACTCGGGGGCTACGCCCCCTCGTACAAATCAGATAGCCTCGTGTTTCGGTGCTCTTTTTATTTCTTATTTCTTTACTCGACTAACATACCCGAACAGTATTCAGAAATTTACAAAGAAAATAATGAAAATATTTCTTCGATATAATTTTTGTTTTTTATTCGACATTTTTTAAATTAAATAAACCTTACCGTAAAACAATAGAATATCGAATTGTCTTCTAGATGCAATTAGAATAAACATTTATACATCACATTTTAATACTGAATAAAACCGAAAGTAAATTTTGCGACGAGAAGAGTTCCCGGCTCTACGTGGAGCGCTTGACTAGGCCGGTACACAAACGGTGTACATGCTTTTGACTACTCGAGCATTTTATCGTCATGCCCCGCGTGTTAGCTGTCTGCAAGCGCTCGTTTAAGACATTTATTTGTAATAAAACAATTACCAAGATGCATAGTGTGTTGTTTCCAAAGTTTTTTTTATTCTACATAATGTACAATATAAATATTTGAATTTCGCGGTCATATATAAAGTGACGATATATATGATCAGTACATGCGCTGGATAGTGTCTGTGTATTTAGTGTGGTGCTCCAATCTCACTCATAGTTTTTGGGGAGGCTATGCCGACCCAATGTTAATAACTGTTCGTCAAATCTTAGTGCCGCGGTAATCAGGTCACTGCCGCGGTAATCAGGTCAAAAAATAGTACCTTGATCTTTTCTAAGCTGACTCATCACTCATCACAGACATTTACAATATGAAAATATTTTCATTCTTTAATTTCATATCTGCAATTTGTAAAGATGATAATTCTCTGAAAAATTCTTGATTTTTGTTTAAATCACTACTCCGTGACGTCATACTGCCGCGGTAATCAGGTTTAGGCATACGTCCGTTGGTAATAAATAGTTCTGGTATGAAAACCCTTCAAAATAATAACTTTATCAATATTTTTTTAACAAAAAGCATAAATGAAAATTTGTAAGTAAATGCTTTAATTTAGTGGCAATTATTCTTTATTATTCTTGATAACAATTTTCCAATTACTACGCAGCGACCAACTGTTTATGACGGGTCATTAACTAGAACGTTCCAACACCGTATTCTCCATTGTGTACACCGGTCTTACTGACGATATTTGAGACCGGTGTATATACAATGCCGTATTCTCAATATCATGCATGTTCTTTTGTTGTTATAAACCATTAAAAGTCCTTAATATTTTTTAAAGACAAATAATTGTAAACTGTCGCTTACATCAGAGACATGGATCATGCTTGCGTGATAACTAAGGAAAACTAACTTATTAGTACACCCCAGGAGGCTGTACGCGGAAAACGGTCATAAACCGCTATATCATAGCTGTTAGTAAATATTTTGCATACATTTAACTAAAAATTCACTGATGGTGATGAGCATATAGTTTGAAACATTATATTCTTGAACCATTATCGCCGAAAAGAAACTATTTAACTACAAAACCCCTATAAGGACCTTCCGACAAAATTCCAGCACAATATTACATTTTACATTAGCAAAATGAAAAAGCAATACTTATATTTTCATCTTACATAATTCATTAATCAAACTTTTAACATAAAAGTATATTTGGCAATTGACAGATCCCTACTCTGATCTTTTATTTGTATAGGAATAAATTTAAACATGTGCTCTTTTGTTTAGGAATATTTTGTAGTGAAAGTCTTATATATTCACTGATCTCATAATTAGAATTAGACAGGTCAGGGATTTATACAACCAGTTGTTTACTTAACTATGCTCATTTTAATCCCAATAGAAACATTCAAATATTTGGGGTATAAAACATGACCAAAGTACCTAGTAGTCGTTTACCCGGTGGTGATCCCATTAAACTGATTATAGATTCGAATTGATTAGAAAACACAAATAGAAACATGTGTTTCCGTACAACAAAAATCGGAAGTAAAGTGAACAGTTAATTGACAGAAATATGTGGTCAAATATGTTTTAACAAAGAAATAATTATTTCAGAGAAAGACGCAAAGATCAGTATGACCCCGTATTGTGTATTTAGAAAGTTTATTCAATTCTAGGGCATACATCATAATTTGATAGTCCATGTGTAATAAAATTCAAATTTTCAATACAGATTATGAGATACATAAAAAATATTAAAGAATAAGAAGCTTTAATTAAAAAAACAAAAACAAAAAAAAACGCATACATATACAAATTACTTACAGTCGAGCATCGGGAAGTCATTAACATATCTTACGAAACTTTAATTTGAAAACGATATTTGCGCGCGCTGAAGTGATTAATGTTTATTTGAAAAATAAAAAAAAAGAACTTTTATGTTTGTGTTCTAAAAATAATCGGCGGCATAAGAGGAATTTCTTATTCATTTTACAACACTTGAAAAATTACTACAGAAAATGTGTTGTTGTTTTTTTTGTTTTGTTTTCAACAAAAGTGAGTGTGTTTTAAGTTTATTTATACTCGGCGCCGGAATAACCATATGTCCGAGATTATAGCATCTGGGACGTCTTTTTCAAGCAGATTCTTCCTGGAAGCCCATTCTTCGTTCTTTGGTGGTAAAGGAGACGACAATACCGTCAAGGCATCAACTTTCTGACTGACGACAACAAAAACGGCATCTATTAGCGCCAAACCTCCAGAGTAAGTCACGACAGGTCAACCAATCACCTCTGGTACTTATGATGACTTGACTATGTCCTTCCGTGTGCCTTCTCCGCGACGTGCACGCCTCTAGAGGAAATTGGAGAAGTTTCAACAAAAACTTCCAAAACACGCCATTTATAACATCATTCATAGCACTGACGGCTTCGGTGTTCTCATCTATTTGCAGGAAATGGTCGACAGGGAAAACCCTACGTAATAACCGCACACCCTGTTAACAACAGATTTTCCGCAGTATATATTTCAAGCTAGTGAGGTTTAAAAATACACAAGCTATCGATTAACTACCATTAGTTGGTTGAGTGTTGGCGGTAAAAAAAGAAGATATAACTTCCTGATCAATTTTCACTTAGGTTGATTCAGTTTTGTATAAGCTTTGCAGATATGTATTTTTTCAAGAAATATTTAGCTTTAATATTATCCGACGCCGTCAGTAATGAAATGGGAATAATTTTCTGAAACGTGATTTTATTCGAGATTTGCTTCTGGAGAAGACAACCTTCTGTCCGTAGAGCATGAATATTAATATTCATCACAAGACAGTATCTTATTGATCTCAATTATGGTACATCTAAACGTGTATAATTTTTATGTTCAATAAAAATGTTGCATCACTTGCAGTTGTTATTATCATTCAATAATATTAAAACGACATAAAGTATTTATGATGAACAGTCCTAGAATATTTTGACACAGGAACTTGAAATTCTATCAAATAATCAATATTAATTATAATATCCAAATATACCCCCTATATACTATAAATTTTTTTATAGTATATAGGGGGTATATTTGGATATTATAATTAATATTGGTTATTTGATAGAATTTCAAGTTCCTGTGTTTGTGTTTTTTTTATAGTATATAGGGGGTATATTTGGATATTATAATTAATATTGGTTATTTGATAGAATTTCAAGTTCCTGTGATTTTGATAAGGAACCGTCAGTTGTAAAATGTTATTGTTATCTGATAATGAACAGTCGTCATACTTGCTGGTATGTCATTTATTATTGACAGTTTAGGTTTTTCAAAATTTGTATGATTAACAGTCCGAATGTAGACCTCAATGAAATGTTCTGAAATATTAACAAAATGAATAGTCAACCACATTAACCATATATATGAATGGTTGAACACAACAGTAAGGATAAATAGCGCAATGTGCATATCTTTTTATTTTGGTAGCATATTTTAAGCAAAAAGAAAAGACACTATAAGTCTGAAACATTCTCTCATAGCCTCCCCATCAGTACATTCAGTGCTTTGATTTTTACTAGAACTATAAATCAATACGCTGTCAAATGTGATGTTTGCCGACTTGTATCTAACAACATAGGGCGGAAGAACTACTTTCAAGATAAACAAGATTTAAAATATGTTATATTTGCTCAATTATATTTGCCAATAAAAATGTCCTATATATTTCATTTTACTAAAGAATGAAATTACATAAAAGGTATAGAGCTGGGAAAGCGGATGTGAAATCGGTCCATTGTAAAATGGTAGTCTTGAAGTCGGTTTTTGTTTGTGATGATTTTTAATTGATTACTGTTTATCTTTTATATCCCATTTCTCCCAACATCTTTTTATTGTGGATTTCGTATTCTTTGCAGGCCCTGGAATGACTGATACAGTTCAGTTAAGACGAAATGTTTAAGTCACTTTACATGTATGAAACAGTTAACGTTCAGTGACTGGCCGAAAGCAAATACGAGTATATATGATATACCCGTCAAATTACCCTTCTCTGACTTAATATCGCTGGGAAGGCCTAGCAAAAATTAACACAACCTAGCCAGAAAAATGTAAATTAAAGATGAAAGGCTATGTTTTACTCTGGATGTCTGGAAAAAAAACTTATATCCTTTTGAGAAGAATAGTTATCGGCAGTTTTTGTAATCCTAGAATAGCTTTTAAAACATAAGTAATTAACCCATTTTATAGCCAACTGGCAGTAACAGGTTCGACTCCTGCAACCAGCGCAAACAAAGATCAGCCGGCGTGTACGTTGCCTGCACTGTACGCTATTCGGTCAGTTATGTATTTTGAAATTTTCACTTAAAGCTGCATGCCTCCAGATGAGCCAAAATATTTCAATTAAATCAATATTGAGAAAAAAAATTAAGAAAGGTTAAAACATTCAAGGTACAAGTTATATTCTTCATGTTATGTGCGGTTTAACACTGATTTTTGCAATATTTTATCACCATATTTCTACTGCGTTACTAACGCAGTAAGTTAGGGCTGTTTTTGCATATGTTGGCCACTTTTTGGTAATATTCGTGGATTGTAAGTGCCGATTGCAATATGTAAATTACTTTATTTGTTCACCTCACATTATTTTACTTTTAAATAAATTTTCAAAATTTTTATGAAAATTAACATAAATCTGGAGGCGTGCTGCTTTAAAATAACGAATGGTTTTATCCAAATTGACAAGTTCATCATGATAAAAGGTTAATTAACCAATTAAGTCTTTTAAATAATTAATATTATCTAAAATCGTATTTTGTTTCTTATCTAAATAGATATTTCATTTTTTTGAAAAAAGATAAATCGATATCTAAAAATAAGGCATATCTTTTTACATTACTTTTAGTTGAATCTACATAGCATTCTGTAATCAAATTACAAGTTTTGATTGTTTGTAGGTATACACGCTTATTGGATATCTGGTTTTACATTGTTTCCACTTAAAGTATGGTTAAAATTCTGTTTAAAAATATCACACAGCTTATTTCATGGTCGGAGCCGATATTAATTTGATTAAAATTTAAAAATGGCCGAATTAACTGAAGAAGAGGAAACGCATCTGAGAGAAGTTTACGATGAATTAAGCGGGGAGGAAAGTGGGGGATTGAAAATTGATAAGCTGTTAGAAATGGCTCAAATATTTGGACTGAATTTGTCTAGAAAAGAAGTGCAGGACAAACTTGATGAATTCGACAGCGATCAAGATGGGGATTTGGATTTTGAGGAGCTGAAAAGATTAGTCGCCGGGCTATACAGAAATAGAGAGGTGGGTGAATTAAACTTAAATTCTTCATGTCATTGTAATCATAATTCGTAAGGGTTTAAAAAAAAGCATCACTTCTTCAGATTCGAACCTACGAAAGTAATTGGAAAAAAGCTGGACTAAAATCACTTGCCCAGCAATAAACTAAATCTGGTCAGTGATTTAATCGACACATATTGGTGAGAAAAGAAGATTATTTTCTAAACCTTAACCTGCTATATAGTGAGGATATTCAATTGTTTTCTATAAATACAGGATTTATTTCATTGAGTGGTATGAAAATAAATATTACATGAGTGGCGGAAGCCACGGGTGAAAAATGATGATTTCATACCACAAGATGAAAATAAATCATGTATTAATAGAAAAAAACTTGAATTTTCTGTTTATTATATACTTCCTTTCTTTTTTGACATTACGATATTAATCTCCCCCTTAAAATTAGTGTATTGGATGAATTTAAAAGAAAGTAGTCCGGCAAGACACCAGTGAAAATACGGAAAATATGTTTCATTGTAGTGAAAAATAAATTGTTACAGTGAAAATACGGAAAATGAAAATACGCATGTTATTTCATATATATTTCTCAGTGTTTCATTTATAAGTATATAATAAATATTTTTATTACAAATCTAGAGCAACTGGAAATCAAAGTTTTAAAAGATTTCAGTATCAAAATACAATTATTGAGCTACCAACAGTATAGAGCCTGATCAGTACCATACAATCTGTTTGCAAAAGATGATCAATTAATTTCTGTTCCAGCCGGTTATGACCAAAACTTTCTCATTAAACCAATAGAAATATGAGCCGCGTCATGACAAAACCAACATGCGTTTGCGACCAGCATGGATCCAGACCAGCCTGCGCATCCGTACAGTCTGATCAGGATCCATGCTGTTCGCTTTCAGTTTCTCTACTTGTAATAGGGTTTGTAAGCGAACAGCATGGATCTTGATCAGACTGCGCGGATGCGCAGGCTGGTCTGGATCCAATCTGGTCGCAAACGCATTACGTTGGTTTTGTCATGACGCGGCTCAAATATCATTTTGTAAATTTATCCTGTATTATCAGGAAAGGCATGAAGATATTATGAACGCAGTTAAAACCATTCTACAGAACTTGGAGTTAAATGATGACGACTGCCTAACTAAGGAACAGTTTGGACAGTTTCTAATGGTATGGTAGATGTTTTATTTTGATTAAAAGACATGTACACTGTATGGTACCTGTTTTCTTCCAACTTGCACGTTGATTAAAATAATGGTATGGAACAAATAATGCCATATCAAAAAATAATGGTATTATCCATAAAAATATGGTAGATTTCAACGTTCACATAAAAATAATTGTTTGGTACAGATTTAAATATAGCGAAAAGATGCACGTCACTTGTTTTATTTGAAATGTAGAAAAAGTTCTGACGGCATGGTTAGTACATTTTTACACTTAGATAAAAAAAGTCATTAAGGTAGCCTGTTTATTTGTATCTGCATACAGTAGGAAAAAATCACCTAATTAGTAGATCTACATTGGAAATGAATAAATCAAAATAAATGTACCATATCAAAAACTTGAAATGCGGAGGTCACGGCAGCAGGGTCTTTCAAAATTAAAAGACTCGGTTCCCAGTCCTAACTGTTCACGGACTTAAGACTGTGCAACTGATATATAATTTGACGATGGTTAATTATAATAGTTGATTTTATAACTATATTGTCTTATAAAAATAATTCCGTATACATTTCTTTTCATGCATTTTTTTCAAAGCAAATATATTGAATGTCTGTCTTTATGTACAGGTTAATTAGTGTTAATTAGTAAACATGTACAAAATAAGATTGGTCTAGATCTACATGTAGAACGCAGCCGTTCGACCAATTTAATTTTGTACATGCTTACTACAATGTAATTAACAACACGGATTTATATTAATATAAATCCGTGTTAACAATAATCAATTTAGTGTTTGAAATTATTTTTTATAAAATTGTTGATTTACACCACTGATTAAGTTTAGTAAGTGTTATGATTCATTTTAAATGCTGCAATTCTATTGGACAAAAAATAATTTCAGACATAAAATATTTATGTTCTAATAATAAATTCTTATTTTCTTCAGGAAAGGGGAGATGACCCATTGTCTCCAGAAGATATAACTGAAATATTTACCTCCCTTGATAAAGATGGTGATGCAGTTATTTCAACTGAAGAAATAGCTTCTTTGTTCGTGGAGTGACAGTTCCATTTTATCCAGTTCAAACCTTCATTAAAATTAAATTTCCATTGACATTGTTTAATACTCGCTTTAAATCATTGTAGTGTTTTAATATTAAAATTTGAAGACTTGTGGTAAATGTTTCAATGGATTTTGCATAATTTAAGTAGAATAATAAATACATGTATCATATTGTGTTTGCAATGTTTGGTGAATAAATGGTTTTATAATTTAACTAAACGTTTCATCTTATTTTACCAATAGTTTCATGACTTTGCTGACATTTCTTATATAGATAATGTATACAGTTTTGTGGTAGCAGTAGCTCAGTGGTTGGATACAATGAAGAGGTTTCTGGTGTATGGAACAGAATTAGTGCATTTATTCCATCTTGCTTGATGATATTTGGACTTACATTACGCTTTGCTTCCATAATTCTTTATTACAACGGAAACCTACGTATTGCTGAATACAGTCATGCATTATGATTACTGAATGCACTATCATGTAATCGTAC